TTCCACCCCAGCTTCCGCCTCAGCTTCCACCCCAGCTTCCACCCCAGCTTCCACCCCAGCTTCCACCCCAGCTTCCACCTCAGCTTCCACCTCAGCTCCACCCCAGCTTCCACCTCAGCTTCCACCCCAGCTTCCACCTCAGCTTCCACCCCAGCTTCCACCTGTAGGCTCGGGGGATAGTTATCTAATCATCACTCAATGTTCTTTGTAAATCTGTGGAGTGATGAGGCCCGAGCCTAGACGCCAAACTCAAACTATAAGCTGCTTCTATCAAACATGTTAAGAAACACGTGAGTTGTCTGACTGAACTCCGTTGGTGTTTATAGTAAATCAGCAGTAATTGTTTTTCTCACCTCATCGACGGCACACTCATGGTGTGGCTCAGCCTGCGTCACATCGAAGGAGCAGAGGAAAAACATCAGGGAATTCATATTAAAAAACTCCATGATTCAAATCCTAAATCCACGTTTATATTCATTTAAACTAAAAGCATCTTAAACTGTGAAACACTGACACAACGTAGGCTAGTGTCTAACCTGAGCAATTATAACAAACTCTCACTGTACAGCAATCTCTGGTTTTATGCTTTTATTAGTACTTATAACTGTAAATATTGTTATACACTACTTGCCTAATATCTAGTCAGAATGTGTCTCTACACTTGCTATAAGACACAATAGCTTCAGAAGTGACACTGCAGTGAGAAATGAAGTCTTGTTTTTAGTCTTGTTCGGTCAAAACATCTTATTTTGAGTTGTATCTCAGATGAAACACATATTTTTTTACATATTTATTAGAAAATCACCATCTAGCATCAGAACACAGAAACACCTTTGAGCATCCGCGGCTTATTTTGTAACAACATTTCCTGATTCTGGTGAAATATAGTTCAGAATGAGTTCTCCAGATAATTACAAGATGAGATTTATCTAAATATCACTTCTTATTCCGAGAGATCTTACCAAGCAAACCTTCACTCGTTCTATTGGCAGATTGTTGAACTTATTTCAAACACCTCGTTTTCATTATGTTTTCATTATGTTTTTGGAGCAGCATTTTTTCCAGTGTATATACATTTTAATATATTTGATGTTGTGATATCATCATACAATTACTTACTTATTCTTATGCTCATATAAATATTTATATTTCAATTGATTTGATCTTATTGCACATTTTTACTTTAACTCCTTATTTTTTTAATCATATTGCTCTATTCCATTTCATTTATGTTTTTTTTCCTTGTTGCGCATGCGCGCCACACACACACACACACACACACACACACACACACACACACACACACACACACACACACACACACACACACACACACACACACACACACACACACACACACACTTACCGTGGGGGGCTGGGCAGAGGCAGAGCTCTGAGGGTGAAAACAGAAACACAGGTGACGTCAGGGACAACAGACTGCTCAGAGTCCAGATGTACTAACGAGATCAGATTAACGCTCGACTGCCGAACCAAAACAAAAGTCAGGAGCATCGAGGTCAGTTTTACTGCTTTGAAGGCTTCTTCTAGACATGCTGTCCACTTGTTGTGTCTCTCTGCTGGAGTTCTGCTCGTCCATCTGCTCGCATGAATCAGCCAAAAGTGCTTTTCTACCCTCCCATCAACGGTAGACTTCCCACCAGCGCCACGAAGGCAAACGGCAGATTTGGGCGTTTTTATTATTATTATCTCAAGCTCTTTCCTTCGGCTCATTTCGCCTCGTTAAGACTCAAAGCATTTTTTAACCACATCATATTTACAATAACAAAGCATTTCTTTGGACCATACCTCATGTCTGCGAGTCTCCTGGTGATGCTCACGCCCATGTTGGACAGAGCGGAGGTCGTCAAATGACCTGCGTGGAAGAAGGACTCCCGTGTCCTCACAACTCTGCAGGAATTAGAAATGAAATCAGGACATGAAGGGAGGAAAGACATATTGTTAAAATGTCAGAGAGTAACCAGCATTATTTAAGCAGCAACGCTTTCAACAAAGATGTGACACTCACAGTAAACCTGGCAGAGCATCATATATTGATATTATTGTGCAATATCACAGAGATACATATTTTTATCAACTTTAGACGAGGTGGCAAATTAAAAATTGATAATAGTTTTTGAATATTTAACCTTTAAAAAACAGTTTTTTTACATAATTCCACTGTTTATATATATGCATTTTATTTGTTGTGGCGTTCCAAGAAAATAAATACACAAAAACAAACAACGTACCATAGAGGACAGTTTTCCTGAAGCTACTACATATTAATAGTTATCCACTTGAATCCTAATCCTTTTCCATACACTTGAAATGCTCTTTTACATACTGTAATGCCCCTGTGGGAAACCCCCTCCAACATGATCACAATGTAGTTATACTTAATGCTAGGGGGTATTTCTCCACAGTGTGGTATCCGTCAGTGATTCTGAACAACTTGGATTTTGATGCATTTTTATTTTCTATGCAGGAAACCAGGAACGAAACGTGTATTCATCTCATAGGGCAAACATGGCAACATGTCTCAATCTGGTGGAAAATAGTCAAAAGTAAACATTTGAAGTGAGGGCTCTACATGTAAAGTTGATATATCAAATATATATATAAGTATCCGGCAGTGGCTCAGTCAGCAGGGGCTTGGACTGTGAGCCGTAGGGTCGCCGGTTCAATTCCCCGACCAGACCTAAAACATGGAGTGTGGACTGTTACTTGGAGAGGTCCCGGTTCACCTCCTGCCCTGCCGTGGTGCCCTTGAGCAAGGCACCGGACACCCCCCTTCCCCCCTCACTCCCATAGCTGCCTGCTCCCAGTAGACTAGGAGCTCTGCCTGTAGGACCTTTAGAGAGGGTTTCATCCCTCTCTTCTAATACAGAGCAGGATACTATGATGCTCATGGGGTTTGAAACTGTGGATGTAATGGGTTTCACAGGAGACACTTTTCTTCTAAATAACCAACTAACTGTATTTTGTAAGCAAATGTTATCATACACCCATCATAGGAGCTGAGGTTAAGGTTCTGCAGTAAAATAAACATGCCTAACCGATGCCATTTGCCATGAAACTGATAGAAAAATAGAGAATCAAGAAGCTCAATAAGTTCCTAGTAATGCACGAGAGTTAAATAGTAAACAGGCTGTAAGGCTATTATCAGGATCCGGTTTGACTTCTGAAATCCCATCACTCGTCCCTTAACAGAGAATCCTCTTTAGAGGGCTCAGAGCAAACCCTCAGGGAAACCCCGGGGCTGTAAAAACACGCACAAACAAATGTTGTTGTTATTTATTTTCATGCAAACCTGACGACTGTGGTTACTCACATGTTGGAGTTGCTGATGTCGTCCAGAGTTGCCGAGGCTGTGAGATATCTGAAATAAAAGCAGGACATGCAGAAGTTGGCAGATTACAACCTGGGGTTAAGAAGCAGAGCCCGATGGTCATTAGCGTGCTTTCCATGGTTATATAACCGCGTGACACTGAGACAATAGCCGCGTTCACACCGCAGTACTTTTCCCACTTTAGTTCCGATATATGGTTCCGAAAATGTCGCGTTCACACCAAAAGAATTCGGAACTAAAATGAGTTCCTGAGAACCTTTTTTACCCCCTTTCCCGTCCCCGCTAGAGAGCAGGGGCTTTCGTGGGAGAAAAAGGTTCCTATGTCTGATTGGCTGGGCGGATTGCAAACCACGCCCCGTTAAACTCTGAAAAGTTTTGTGAAGCCGCCATTTTATTATCCTTGCATTAGCATTAGCATTAGCCTAGCAGACCAACGGAGGGAGACTAACTTATGGCAACACAAAAGAAAACATGGGAGCGGTGGAGATGAGGAGGTGTCGGCGTTCTGGCGATTTACTCGGAAGGCTTCAGTAGAAGCTGCTGGAGTAACTACTGAAGCCAGTCCCCAACTCCGGGGACTTCCGGCCGGGGACTCCGGGTGGCAGTATACGCCGAGAAGTTGTTTGCGGCCTGCCAGTAAACCCCGCTTTATCATGTGTTCTGTTAAATGTCAGAATATAGTAAAAACTTGTAACCCATAGTCCAGGATGATGTCTTTAAATATCTTGTTTTGCAAGCAGCCCTATTATACAGAGAAAGGCAGCAAATCAAAAATGTGTTTAAAGAATGATAGAATATCAGTTAGTTGGGGATAATCTCTAGATGCCGGTGCACTTACGGGGTGGAGGTCTGGACTTCCTGCCAGCCTTTGGACAGGTTCTGTTTGATGTTACTGAAGGGGGTCAAACCCAGCTCACTCCTGATTTCTGTCGCATACTTTTCTTTGACCAGCAGCACCTGCCGCAGCGTCTGGATCTCATCCTCCACCTGGAAAAAACACAAAACAGTTCAAAGACAGTGAGGAGAAGTGGTTAATGTTGTTCTTTTGTGATTGATACCCACGCATCACCTTTGTCAGTTCAGTCCGCAGATAGTCTATGTCCTCCTCTGATAGATTTGGGGGAGAGATTCCATTTACCATCACCCTTTGGGAATAACTCATGGATGATGAAGCCCCGCCATAACCTAAAAAACAACAAATTACGAGACAGGGATTGAAGGAAATAGATTTTTTAGAAAGCATTACATTCTGCATCTGTCCGTGGGCCTTCACTGTAACAACAAGGTTAAACTAATGTGAAATCTACAGAAGAAACTTAATTATCGTTCCATTAGGCAGAAAAATTATATGTGCTTTGATCGAGAATAGCATTGGCAATCGGGCAAAATATTTAGTAAAATATTGGTATATTGGATTTTCTTTTTTATCCAATATTGTGCATCCCAAAGGTAGATTAAGTCAAAAAAGTTATTTATACAAAAAACATATGTATACTGTATATCTTGTGAATTTCTAGATGAATATTAAGTTAGTAAAAAGGGTTATTATATTATATACATCACTCGCATATAGAGTAGTGGTACCAGAGAGTAGGGATATGCAATATAACATGCAACCTAATCCCAGACTACTTTTAAATGTAGTATTTGCCATTTCGAAATAAAATAGGAACAACTATCTCCAATGGTGTCAGGTGACAATTCCATCTCACACGACACACGACACACACACAGTTTATTTGCAGAACTTAATCCCCTGCACACACCACGTTTACAAATGAGAGTGCACAACATCCAGAAAACTGTTAAAATGAATAAACACGGACACCTTTAAGAAATATTGTCGAATAAAGTTAAAACGGCAGTAGTTATAACACTAACGGTTATATTAGCACAGGGTGATAAACAGTGGAGCTGTCCGTGGTGCTGAAGCTAACTGAAGCTAACAGCTAACCGAAGCTAAATGCTAACTTGTTGCCTACGGAGCTAACGTTAGCCACCGTCGAAGGCAGCATTTAAACACTCTCAGAACACGGTAAACTAACATAAATATCTGTTGTATATGTGTTTGTATACATTGTACGGTGTTGTGAGAGCAACGCGAGAAGGCTTTACCTTGTTGGTCCATCGCTGCCTCACTTTAACCTCCGTAGTGTTCCGACCGGCTTTCCGGCAGCAGCTTCCAGCTCAGCCCCGAAACAGAGACTCTGAGGCGGCTTACAGATGCTGCTCCGCCCCGCTGGTGGGCGCTGCCCTCCAGATACAAATACTTTATCATCATACAGTATGCACAGCAGATACAGGGTAGATATATACAGAGGTGGGAGAAGTACTCAGATCTTGTACTTGAGTAAAAGTAGAAGTACTCAGATCTTGTACTTGAGTAAAAGTACCTCTACTTAGTTACTTCCCACTTCTGTAGACATGGTAATGAAACACTTTTTTCCTCATTATTTGACGAGTATTTCTTTTTTTAAATTTTTCTTCCTTCTGTAAAAGTAAAATGTTGTACATGCATATGTAATTCAATAATCCAATCCTTACACACTTAATGTAAATAATATCCTGCTTTATATTGTGTTCACTGAAACTCTAATGCTGGTTTATTCTATGTTGAGATGTTTGTATTTGAGAATTATTTATTTCTACTCTTAATCTCTAAGTATGTGCAATGCCTTGTTTATGCTGCAGCAACAAAATGCTTCCCTATTTGGGATCAATAAAGTACATCTCATCTTATTTATACACGGGGGGACTGTGGCTGTACATTAGTGTATGTGTATAAGTACACTCCATTTACCTCTCGAATTAACAATGCACTCAATGTATTTGTTGTGTTGCTAATTGTGTTATGTTTAGGTATTAAACATGGTCATTTTGGCCTTCATATTTATATGTCTACAACTGAAAACCATAATATCAAGCTTAAAACCAAGGCCTTATTATTGTATATGTATTATTATAACTTGACACATGTTACTTTTAACTTGATATTGTGATTTCTCTTTACCTCTGTATGACCCACTTTGTGTATAAAAGGTACTTCCACATTGAAACGTCTGTACAAACGGCGGGTCACCAGTCCAAATGTTCAGGAACATTTATTCAACAACAGCAAATCAGATCAGTGATCCACTTGTTTTCTTCCAGACACACATTTACCATGCTACAACAGAAACGGTAAGGGTTTATACTTTATATGGACGTGTATGTACAAGCGAACTTAACCATTAACCTTGCTAAAATTCAATGGTCACATTACAACACCATACCAGTTAATAAAATCATATCCATCATCGAGTATGAAATAAATAAAACTCCAAAAGAAATGCATCATATAACCATTTCACTATAGTTACACTTTATATAGTATGTCGTCTTTTTATGGAGTCATTTCCTGATTATTTTTTTTAAACACACAGTGCATTCAACTGAGAACATTTACAGTAGCATCTTTCAGTATCTCAATGAAAAAGCCATGACGGGAACATCTATGTTTCATCGAGGGTTAGGGGAAACATCGCACGGGGGCACAGAGGTCACATCCATACCGTTAAGAGCAGAGGGTGGCGACAGGAGCGCACCAATTGTAAACCATTGAAACACATTATTAGCATTTATGAAAACGGACAAGATGTTCATGGCAAAGTGTGTGCGATGCAGATTCAGTGGTATGAAAAATCTCTTCTTCTTTTTTTTTTAAAACGTGGAGCTGCCTGTAAGCACTGATGAAGATATGCCGACGAGCTTCTTACTCTACAAAACATATGGTCAACAATGAAAAAACGATCACAGCATCGGACTTCAGTTCAAAACACGAGGACGAGAAACATGATCTGATTTATGCACGACATAAAAAACAGTCAGGTCAGTAGGGCTGTACCGGATTTAACTTCTGTCAAAGTCTTCTAATCAATCTTTTCATATTCCTTACCGTGTGTGTGTGACTCCTAAGTACATGTAGTGTATGTGACACCTGCTGGGCAATACACCAAATTCAGATTCTGATATTAAATGACGTCCAAAAAAGAACATCTTTTCATATTAATTAATTTTTTTAACACATGCTCTCTATTCTTGCCTCCCTCTCCGTGTGCAGAAAGCTGGTTTTGAAAGCAGTAAAAAGGTTGTTTTTGAGATAAAATGCCCAAAAATATGGATTAAATCTGACTTTTTTTATGAGATAGAAATAAATGTGTTTGGGAAGTTGGATCACACGAGTCCTACATGTACGCAGCGACTACTGGACTCTACTTCTATTATAATACTAATTATATAAGTGTAGCTTAATCTCCATCAGACAAAGGGCACGAACACTGGCTTTAAACACAATTCATTTACATTTACAGTTTTGTAATTCCAATGCTAAGCTAAGTCATCGGTACAGCCCAACTAATCAGCTTTATTTCCCCGCTCTCAAAGGTGTAACATGTTTTGCTTTCCACATCACATTAACTACTCAACATATTCAAGACGGCTCAGAGTTGAAAACATGTTAACCTGCTCCACAGCTCCACAGATCAATGGGTAAACAGAAACTAAACAATGACATGCAATTCACTTCTTTTGGTCTTAATTAGTGATGACTGCTTACAAATGGAATAAATAAGTGCAGCACGTCATCCAAATACAAATAATCTTTTCTTCACTAATTTAAATAATCCGTTTTTTGTATGAGATTCAAATTTCTGAATCCAATTATAACATTATAATCGAATGTATCTGCTGATGTGAGGAATAAGTGGTGAAAAAATATCATTCTTGCTGGACTGAAAGTCTGCCGTAACTATATGTGCAATGCAAATAATAAAAAAACAGAATAACGTTCGAGCTGCGGCAAAGAAAGAAAAACAGGGTCGGGGGGGAATGTAAAGCCAACACTAATTATAATAACTAACGTTTTGTCAGCAGACCTCTGCAGATAAAGCTCGGTGCATTATCCGCCTCATGATTCACATTAAAAACTCTCGGGGGAAGGGGGGGGGCACGCTCACAGACAAACACACACACACTCAAACGGGCTCTGATTTAAGGGAACAATTGAACGAGTAAATGATGGCACTGATCACACACCGTCTGAAAGCCCCCTGAACCCCCTCTCCTCTGTGTGGACATATTGCACTAACACGTATATCTATAGATGAGAGCAGCCAATCGGGTTCTTTCCTTCTACGTCATGCCCCGCCCCTTTTTGTGTGAATACACTCTGTGTCATGTGACTGGTGGGAAGAGGTTTTTTCGCTAATCACATGAAAACATTAGGAATACAGTGCATTTTTTTATTTACATGGAGCCCAATTAGGATGCTCAAAAGACTACAGAATGTTGTTTGAGATTTATAGTTTAATTTAAATAAATATATTTCACTCTAACAGTGGATGAGTGGCAAGTACTGCATATATGTCAATGCAGTACATACAGTATATTTACTACTCTGACTTTTACCATTACAACCGTTTACGTTGATGATTGACGTTAGCCTCATTAGTTGTGAGGAAGTGTTTCCCACAGACGTACAGTATTAACTGAGGCCTGAGCCACAGATCAACCTTTTTCCCGAGAGGAAGCAAAGAGAAATATTGTTGTTGTTTGTCCAGTACACAACACAACAGCTTTTAGGGAAGATACAACTATTTTTTCCCGCTTAACGCTGATTTTTGGTTTCACACATAAGTGGGCGGGGCTGTAATTTTGCTGCTCTCATCTAGGAGCTCTGCAAAGTATAACTGTTTGCAAAATATGAAACATTTGGAAACCATTTTGGAAACAGTGCATGCTACACCATGACGTGGGACAAAGAGAGAGAGGTGGGTAAAAAGGCCGAGAGAAACAAAACTGTTTGAGGGGGTGACTTCTTCATTACGTTGATGATTGGCGTTAGCCTTGTTAGCATCATTAGCTGTGATGAAGTGTTTCCCACAGACATACGAGGCCTGAAGCCACATATCGACCTTTTTTCAGAGAGGAAGTAAAGAGAAATATAGTTGTTGTTTGTCCAATACACAACACAACAGCTTTAAGGAAAGATACAACTATATTTTCCCGCTTAACGCTGATGTTTTGGTTTCACACATAAGTGGGCGGGGCTGTAATTTTGCCAGGAAGCGACGTAGCTGCTGCTCTCATCTATGAACTCTGCAAAGTATAACTGTTTTGCAAAATATGAAACATTTGGATACCATTTTGGAAACAGTGCATGCCAGGATGTGGGACAAAGAGAGAGAGAGTGGGGGTAAAAAGGCCGAGAGAAACAAAACGGTTTGAGGAAGTGACTTCTTGATTAGTTCCTTGGTAACGGGCCATGCTTACGAGTCCCTCAGCGCCGCTCTGGAAACAACATGGCCGCCGCCCTCTTCTTCTGGCTGAGGTGGAGCAGGCAGGACCGCGGGGGGGTGGGTGGGTCGTGGGGGGGGCGGGGGTTAGTTGAAGCCGGTGTCGGTGTGGTAGGAGTGATGGCCGTCCCCCGTGAGCTGCGTGGTCTCTGTGGCTGACGGCTGCAGCATTATGGGGTCGCCCCCAGCCTCTACTTATAAAACAAATAAGACAACAGGTTTCAGCCTCTTCGCTCTAATAGAGGGGCTCAATGAGGGGCTCAATGAGGGGGGGGGCAGCGTCCCCAGGCTGCGTCCACACTGGGTCGAGGGGGGCTTAGTGGACGGGAGTGAGAGAATATTGCATTAGTTATCACAGAGGAGAAGACCCTCCCCAAATCTGCTTCAACAAACATGTAGACTGAGATTCAAAAAGACAACATTAGGACATTTCTCAGGTCAGAGCACGGAGGACAAAGTGTTTAGATATCTCACTTCTATAAAAGTAGTAATACCAGAGTGTAGAAATACTCTGGTATAGGTTAAAGACTTTCAAATGCACTCGTAGAATTGTGCTATATGAATTAGGGTTGTAACGTCAATCAAAATGTTATCAAAATCAAAATATGTACTCAAATATTTATAGTCTGAAGTTATGTCAAACATATAATATAATATTAGTCTACCTAGTTTAAAAGTTGAGTGTCTTTGGGATTGAATAACATGTTTGATCCAAAAGCATCCAGACAATGAGAATAACTAAACAAACACTTTTGAGAGAGGATGCTCATTTTAACCCCCCATGCTCTGACTAAGCTTTAGGCAGAGGTGGGAAGTAGTAGAGTACAAATACTACGTTACTGTATTTAAGTACATCTTTCTGGTATCAGTACTTTACTCCACTACTTATTTTCTGACGATTTTCTACTTCTCTAATTTTCCAAACAGGCTGGTTCCTTTAGTTTGAATGTGTGTTTGGTGGCGTGATCTATTGATTTGAACACGATCCGTGTATCCATCATTTCCTGGTCTTCTCTAAAGAAGAGGGACCAATGAAAACGTTGTCATGTTGCCGTTGGTCACCATGGAAACATTCATTAGCTAACAATGACATTATTGTGAGACTACCAAGGCACAC